ACGCCCACCAAGCCACACCCACAGAACCTGCCACGCCCACCAAGCCACACCCACAGAACCAGTGGTAAAATTTTTTGAAACTGGTATGTATGTATGTATATTTGTCTGCATACATATTTATTTGGATGTATATTTGTTTACATGTATATTTGTTTATATCTATCTATCTATCTATCTATCTATAAAGTGTTTTTCTATTGAAGCACCTGGTCAGCATCAGCTAACCAATATGGCTAGCTGATGAGAGTGTAGGACAAGAAACCTACCGATACTTCTGAATCAGCAGTTTAAAAGAGCCATTGTTAACTGTAATCAGAAATAAATCCTCCATGTATGAAAAACAGCAATCTTTGGCCAAAAGAGAGAAAAAAGATCAACAGTCTCAAATAATTCTCAGCTTTAAAAAAACATTAATATCGTTGGAATAATAATTCAGAAACAAGTTAGCACTTTCACTGTTAAAAAAAAGAAGATACAGTGAAAACACTGACATAAGCGTTTTAAAAATGGGTTATTATTTGCTCTCATTCCATCCTTTCTTTAGGAGCTTAGAATAGCACACAGTAACTCACCACTCCTACAGTTTAAGACGGCAGTGTGCAGTTTTCCTAGCATCATCTGACCGTCTTCATAGCTGACAGATGATTTTGGCCTCAGTGAAATGTGACATTCTACTTTCTCAGCAATGGTCTTTGGCTCACTATTAATTTTCTGTTTGGCGACCTCAGCAGCTATAAAGCAAGTAATTGGTGGAAGACCTTTTCTACACTGCTAAGTAGATTGGTTAGCGAGTGAGTCATCTTAATTTGCATGCCTTACTGATATTAAAAGGGTAAGCTGACATTTACAGGATGGCATTCTTGAAACATTTATCAGGTTTTGGATGATATTTTGTCCACGGAACCATCCATTCCTGATACTAACTAATCAGTCACTAGTGCCAAGTATGGAAGGAAGGAAAGAAGTCCCTATGGATTTTACTCCACTAGTCATTACCAACACTAGGGGGCAGTGCTCGTATCCGTTTCAAGGCCAAGAGCTAGCGCTGTCTGAAGACATTTCCGCTGTCATGTGGCCAACATGATATCATGGAGCATTGTGGCAAGTAGAGAGAGAAAAAAACAAGGGAAGATTCTTCAATGCAAGACTGGAAATCTGAATTGTGGCTCATAAGCATCCAAAGAAGGCAAACAGTATTAATACATGATTCATGTTTAGGTAAAGATTAATATTTATCAGGTTTATCCTCTCATCTTCCCAACCTCAGCATGAACATGTTCTTGCTAACAGCTTTTAATTTATTTATTTTATTTTATTTTATTTTATTTATTTGGTTTGATTTATATGCCGCCCTTTTCCGGAGACTCAGGGCGGCTTACAATGCGTTAAGCAATAGCCTTCATACTTTTGTATATACCTGCTTAGTAGGGCTTTTTGGCCCCCCCCAAGTGGTGTTCTATTTTATACAAAATCAGCTTATTGCCCCCACAAACCGGGTCCTCATTTTACCTACCTCGGAAGGATGGAAGGCTGAGTCAAACTTGAGCCTGGTGAGATTTGAACTTGCAGTAATTGCAGGCAGCTGGTATTCCTTAACAGTGCTTTAGTCTGCTACGCCACCAAGGCTCCTTTTAATGCCATGTCCTCACACCATTGCCCCCATCTCATCCCCAACACATATTAAAGGGAGCTTCAAGGCAGTGGTGGGTTTCAAATTTTTTTACTACCGGTTCTGTGGGTGTGGCTTGATGGGCATGGCAGGCGAAGGATACTGTAAAATCTCCATTCCCTCCCCAATCCAGGGGAAGGTTACTGCAAAATCCCCATTTCCTCCTGATCAGCTGGGACTCGGGAGGCAGAGAATAGATGGGGGCGGGGCCAGTCAGAGGTGGTATTTACCGGTTCTCCAAACTAATCAAAATTTCCGCTATCGGTTCTCCTCCAGAACTGGTCAGAACCTGCTGGAACCCACCTCTGCTTCAGGGTCTCTTCAATGGTTCAATTTTAAACTCTTCTGATATATTTCCCTCTTCTCCTGAAAAGATTTTTTTTTTTCTGTGAATCTGATCCAGAATGCTTCATGGATAACATGATGGATGTTATGGTTGAGTGTTGGCATCTGTGCAGCTTCTGTTGGTTATTTTAGGCTGTTGCAGACCTGCCCGATTGATTCTGATCATTGGGCTTTGCCTGCTAGAATCATTTTGGCTGGGCTGTAAATGACTCTAGATATCTGCCTCTCCCAATGCCTGACCGGACCATTCCAAAATGTTTTTTATTGTTATATGGGGACACCTAGACTCATAAACATGTTTACTTTTTTTTTTTTTTGAAAGTGTAAATACATCTGGATTTGAAAAACAGGACCCGCATCCTAGAGAATGCCAATCATTTGCTATACAGAAGGTTGATTTAAGATGGATGAGAAAGCAGAATAAGAGAATAACAGAGTTGGAACGGACCTTGGATATCTTCTAGTTCAGCCCCCTGTCCAAATAGGAAACCCTATACCTGGGATGGCAAACCTATGGCACGCGTGGCACGCAGAGCCATTTTTCTGGGCATGTGAGCTGTCGCCGAACTCACCTGCAGCTGAGCATGCACGCACACCCCGGCTGGTGTCCTGGCCTCCAGTGCGCATGCAATTCAGGGGTCCCAGCTGGTCTGCGGAGCTCTCCTGCGCATGCACGCGCATTTGCACACATGCATGAGAGTACTGGTGCGCAGCAGACACATGTGCAGATGGCATTCATGCCCACGCATTGCCCAAAAACCACACGCGTGCAGAGATGGCGCGATTGCGCACACAGCGCACAGTGGGGCGCTGGTGCAAAAGCTGGGCACATGCACAGCTGGTATGATTGCATGCGCAGCACACAGGGGCGCGTGTGAAAGCTGTGCACATGCGCAGATGGTTTGGTTGCACGTGAGGTGCATGGGGAGGAGATGCGCACTAGCATGTATGGCGTGTATGCGCACAAAGCGCGCAAAGCACAGACCTGTTTGGCAGTCAGTGAGTAAAAGGTTCACCACTACTGCCCTATACCATTTCAGGCAAATGATTGTCCAATCTTGTCTTAAAAACCTCCAGTGTTGGAGCACCCACAACTTTTGATTACAACCGTTCCACTGGTTAATTGTTCTCCCTGTCAGCAAATTTCTCCTTAGTTCTAGGTTGGTTCTCTCCTTGATTAGTTTCCACCTCAGGTGCTTTGGAGAAAGCCAGATCCGGTCACTTGGATGTTGCTGATTCTGTTCCAAATAAGCACCTTATAGATTTTCTGCTCCTTCTGCCAAGAAGGAATTTCGTGTGGTTGTACTTTTTACTATTCCAAGGGGTACAATCTTGTCTCCTCTACAGCTGCTGCTAGTCACAGCCACTGACTCTCTCATTCTTTGGCATGACTAGTCAAGATAGAAGCTTGTCCAGTATCAATTGCTTCCTCCAGCTTCACCCCGTACTTCTCTTCCATTCTTGTGACCCAACTGCCAGCGTAGTTTTGGACACGGGTTTGGCACTTTCAGAAGAGATCTAGACCCATATTTGGAATAGCCCAATTGGCAGGTAACGGGCACAGAGTTCTTCCTTGCCTGTAATCTGTTGGAGACGCAGCTTGACAGGTGTCTAAACCAGGCATTCTAAGGCCCGTCCATTACATGTTAAGAGCAATTTCAGCTGGCACTGGTAAAGTTTATTGGAAGGGAAACAGACAAAAGACTCTACCAATCAGGTCCCTTACCTTGACCCACATTCAGGCACTATAAAAGAACATTGGCCTCTTCACTGAACAGGAAGTCTATGATGAAAGCAGTTCATTAGTTTTTAAGTCAATATATTTTTCTCTTGGCTCACAAACAGGACGGTAGTATACTGAGTTTCTATCTGTGGTCCGTGGATCCCTGGGGGGGCTGCGATGTTGTCACGGGATCTACGAAAGCTTGAAGAAATGTTGTGATTTAAATCTTGAGTTAAGTCTTGGGGGTCTGTGGCCACAAAAGGTATTTAAATGGTGAAGAAAAGGTTAAGAACTACTGGGATAGTACTTCTGATCTAGATAGCAATAACACTTAGACTTATATACCACTTTACAGTGTTTTACAGCCCTCTCTAAGCAGTTTACAGAATCAGCCTATTGCCCCCAACAATCTGGAGCCTCATTTTACCCACCTTGGAAGGATGGAAGGCTGAGTCAACCTTGAGCCTGGTGAGATTTGAACTGCCAAATTGCAGGCAGCCGGCAGGCAGCAGAAGTATCCTGCAATACTGCATTCTAACCACTGTGCCACCGTGGCTCATAATAGAAAGTCCTAAACCACTGCAATCACAGAAATTCCAGAAGAAGGGAAACCTACCGTCCCTCCAGATGTTGCTGTATTAAAACTCTCAACACTCCCAGCCCGCATATGCAATATTTAAAAGCATGTCTAGCAACCTCAGGAACCTCAGCCACATGGCCTCAGCTAATGCCATGCTGTGAAGACCTTTTTATTCCATCAGGTGGGCTTGGCCTAATCTCTTCCCTTTTTTAAATATGTAAATTTTAATCTGTTTTTAAATTATCGGGGTGTTTTAATCTGTCTGGGCCAAAATGATTTAATTTGATTTTATCTGGTTTTTAAATTTTTTGTATCTATGTATTTTATTGTTTGGCTGTTCACCGCCCTGAGTCCTTCGGGAGTAGGGCAATATACAAATCAAATAAACTAAACTAAACTAATGCTATGTGGCTATATAGCGTTATCTAAACTTGGGATAATCTAGAGCACAGCCTTAGGCATAGAAATAACAGGAACCTCAAAATGCATCTTAGTTCTCAATCTCTAAATTTCAATGAGAGCGATCAGACAACAAAGAGAGGTGCGCCTTTTCCCTATGGTCTTGGATCAATTTTATAGAAGGAATCATTTACTAAAATAAGTGGTTTCGGGCCTGGGATTGAAGACTGTGCCAAGAAAGATGTTTCCAGGCTAAGGGGAAAAAAGGCTCATGTCATAATACATTTATAAAAATACAGATGTCACTTATTTTTTTATTTCCATTTGAACATCAGTTATAGATAGCAGATGTTAGACTCTTCTGAGCAGCTTCTCAATTGTTCCATCCACACGATGGTAAAATACCATATGGACACTTAATACATTGAAAGTAGTTTAGTCACATCACATTTCCAGAAGGGATCATCACTTTAATACAAAAGAAAGAGTCAAGTGAGTGAAGGGGACAGTAATATCAAGGTAGAATCATGTGGATTCTTAAAATATACTCATTTCACACTTGGGAAAATCCTGGAACCAAAAGATGAAAAGCTACACAAACATTCATTAAAATATTGCTAATATTTTCAACAAAACACTGTTTTAATAAAACCCAGGCAATAAAGAACATATATGGTTACCTGGGCACAATTCTCTCTGATGTACACACATTCTATTCATCTCAGCGGACATGTGTGCAAATGTGCATTAAAGTAATCCTTACAGTTTATTATGCATGAGAAATATAAAGCATTAAATGGAAGCTAAACAGCCACTGCAGGAAATTTAGGAAGGCTTTAGGTTAACAAGTCACTTGACTAAAATCATCTTGTTGCCTGCCCTGTGACTTTGCTTGCCTTCTACTAGCGTGGTCAAAAACTCCAGCTGCCTAGCTAACAAATTGAAAGTGAATCTTACAGCTACATATGCAATAATTCTTGTAGCCATATTTAAAAGGTTTTGTGTTGAGCTTCTCTTTTTTCTTGTCAAAGCCACAGTTACCCTTTTGCTACTAATGAAGAATACTGTAGCCCCTTCAGAAGATTACGGCCCAATTGTTGGGGATCTTGCCACAGGATTCCTATAAACCAACGGCTGTGGATTATTCAGACATAGAGGGTCCTTTGCTTAAACATTCATGAATCACTAAAATGCATTCAGTATATAGTCAGATCACCATATAATTAATAAAGTGACTTTTCTATTAAAGTGAAAGGATTTCATTAGGTTTAAATCTAGATTATAGTATAGTAATTAGAATGTAGTTCTAGAATTTGATAAAGTAAAATTATCTGCTAAATTATTGTTTTAAGGGCATATATTATATAAATGTGCCAACTAATTTTTAATCTTCTCTTTGGCTCACAACTACACTGAATTACCAATAAACATTATTTAGAACTTCGATAATTATATAAATAGGCTACAATACAAATGGAAGAAAATACAAGACAATTCTTTAGCATGGTAAATTCTTTGCATATAAAGAAGCAAATAGCTCATATACCTAGAACTGAACAGTTATTTTGCTGGAAAACTATTACATGTAATTCCTTTTCCCTCCCCCACCCCATTTAACAGTAATGTACACAATCTACACAAGTGAATTTCTAAAAAATACATCAATATTATAATCTATTACAACAACTCAGCTACTACTATTCCCCTGATATGATAGCTAAAGGGATATACATACAGCTAAACTACTTGTTTGGATTTGCTTTCTTCTTTCTTTTCCATATATTAGAGAAGCATCAATAAATAATGTTTAAATAACATTCACCATTTACCATCGTTCCTAAGAATCTACATTTTAAAAATGTTTTTCCCCAGCTTTACCTGGGAGCTTTATCACCTGTAAACTGGTTGTCATGTTACTTACTTCTTGATAGAAAATACTTACTTCTTAATAGAAAGAACAGGCCTCTTACACTCCAGTCTGAAAAAATGCGAGAATCTAACATGCTGGGTAAATTTATACTGATTTCAGTGGGTTTTAAAATATGTCATACGGGGTTGGCCTTGTCCATTTAAATTAATACAGAGTAAAGATATGGACTCCAGTATTATGGCTGATGATATTTCAGTAAAATCAGTAGAATCAATGCTTCTGTACTATACCTGAAATGGGAATATTGGTCTATCATCTACCAAGGATTGATCTAGTGAAGCCCCTTTGGTATTAATAGAGCTTCAGAAGAGCAGTTCGTGATAGGAAATACCTGGAATGCTTACTATTGTTTATATATTTTCTTTATATACATATAAAGTGTATGCTGTGTGTTTGTTCTGTTAAAATATGTCTACACACACCATACATCATCACACTGTACATATAGTGCAGATTTCTTAGTTAGCTATCTTAATATAATTTGCTTTCGGGCAAACTAGAATTACCAGACCTAACTAGCTGAATGATATATTTCAAAATAATATGTTTATCCTTTGGTAAAATAATAAATCAGTTCCTATATACTTTTCAATAATCTATGGAAGCGGGCACTATTGTTTTTAAAGAGAGGGTCTCAGAAGAATCAAACACTTAGAAAGTGATCATCTTAAAATGTATTCTACAGAACTGGTTAAAAAACAGCCAGTACTGGAAAAGAGCGCTCTAGAGAAAAACTACGGTTCAACTCATGTGGATTACAGATCTTGCCCCAATCGTTCTATTTCCTCAATCAAGAAGTCAATATCCGACTTGGAGGCTGCAGGATTTGAAATCACCATTCTGAAGAAGTTGACTTTCTCTCCCTGAGGCTGATATCCAACCATTGTGGTACCTGTTTCCATCATCAGAGCTTTGATCTTGGGTGCCACCTTGAGATTGAAACAAGAAAAAAGATTTGGGATTCAGATTTCCCTCTGAGGGAGAAGACTAGCACATCAGCAAGGAAGCAAGGCCTGATGTAGAGAAAATACAGAATGGACGAAGAAGGTATCAGTACATCTGGTGGGCAGTCTTTCAATGTTCTCCTGAAATTCTGGTATTTGCAAAGCCAACAGAATGGGAGAATGCCAAGATATGGAAGACAGCACTGATGGCGCATTGTTGCTTTTATTTTTAAAGTTTCTATAAAATATAATCAAGTTACGAGGTTACACAAAACCTTATGACCATGTACTTCAACCATATTATTTCCCCTCCTGACAAAAATTAATATTAATTAGAATCATGGAGGACCTCACCCCAAACACGGAGACAGTGTAAGATATTTTGGTAGTTGGGGCAGAAAATCCACCTAGCAACATGATGGCAAACCTATGGCATGTGTGCCACAGGTGGCATGCGTAGCCATATCAGTGGGCACGCGAGCTCAGCTCTGTGTCGAGATCCGCTCGACACCTCGACCTGCTGCCGGGATCGAGGATCCGACCACTGTGACAGGCCACGGGTGTCAGCAACAGGAGGGACTGGCGAGAGGAGCTCCGGGATCTATTTACACTGGTGATGGGGGATGCTAGCTTAGCAAGAGGCGGCCAGTCACGGTTGCGGCCGGGAAAGGGATAAGTTTTTGATGCCTTACCACCGTAACGTTTACATGGCCGATGGCCCGGCAGTGCATGTGCAGTAGAACCCGGAAGGGCGGTGGTTAGGCTGCTTTGCTGGTGCACTGTTTAAAAGGCGTTGGGAGGCAGCTGCTCCCAACGCCGACTTTGTGTATTCCGCATAACCGTCAGTTTTGCCGTGCATCGTGTGGAGGACTGTGTATGTATAATAAACTGTTGCAGCAGGCCATGGCTGTGCATGTTCCTTTTACTCGCACACGGACACGCAACACAACCGGACACTCTGGCACGCATGCGCGCACCGGACAGCTGATTTTCGGGCCTTCTGGGCCCACCAGAAGTAGGGAAACAAGCTGTTTCCTGCCTCCGGAGGGCCTCAGGGGGTGGTGGGGAAGGCCCGTTTTTTGCTGTCTCTACCGGCAGTTGGCAAACGGGCCATTTCTGGCCTCCGGAGGGCCTCTGGGGGGGTGGGGAAGGCTGTTTTTGCCCTCCCCAGACTCCTAGAGAGGCTCTAGAGGCTGTGGACAGCAAAAAAATGGGCCTACTGGGCCATCGCATGCCAGGGGGAGGGTCACGGGGGTGAATCACACACACATGCGTGGGGGCAGGGTGTATAGAATTATGGGTCTGGGCACGTGTGCATGTGATCCACCCACCCCTTCCTGGCACGCAATGGCAAAAAGGTTAGCCATCACTGACCTAACAGATTTGGTGGTGGTAAAAGTATATAAATAAACAAAACCAACAATTCACTGGTTTTTAATGGTTTTGACAAATGTTTTGGCTACAAAATTAAGAAAATAGAGTCAGGGCAAAATAAGCAGAACCTCATCCCTAATATAGATGAACTGGAGTGATTATTGGTTTGTAATTCAATTGGATAATTACAGATCTAACTTTGTAATATCAGTTCTGTTGCTTAGTTATTTTTCAAACAATATTTTGCTTTTGGGGTTATATTTGAGGCATATTTAAACCCAAGCAAGTAAACTCATTACTAAACAATAATGGAATTCTCATTCTGTCTCATACAAGAGGCCCATTTTAAAAGAAACAAGTGGCTCTTCATTGAGCATATGACTTTCACACTCATCACCAGTTAACATACCCATAATTTGTTGGATACCTACATAGTAGATCTACAATATTTAATGCTTTCTACATAGAGTTCCCTGGAAGAGAGTTTGAAGCATTCAGAGCACACAGACCATGTCTTACTTTTTTGAACTGCCCTGAAATAATCAGACCGCTGTTGCTCTTCTGCCTACATCACCTAAGGACCAGGAACCATTTCAAAGGTGTAAGTGGAAAGAGATAGTTGAGGGGGTCTCTAATCAAGCTCTGTAAACCAAGCCAACAGCACTGAATGTTTTCAAAAGGGAAGAATCAGGAGGGGAAAAGAGAGATACTTGTCATCCTGTCATTCCTTGGAGGTACTCCAGACAAGTAACCAATACCATGAGTATACAAGATTATAGTAAGAAAATCTTGCAAGTATGAAAGCAGTTCTCTCCTCCCTTGCCTTCACTTTCCAGAGAACTAGAGAAGGTCCCTTCTGAGATACTTCTTTAGCCTTCATTCCTTCTGTGGGCTGATATATCTCTCTAATCTGATCACTGGCCTGCCTGTGACTCTTCCTCCTCCGGTCTCCCAAGATTATTCCCACAAATGATTACACACCCCACACCCTCCAGGGCTTGAAAATTAATGAGGGGTGATCCTATGTTATGAATTTACAAGACAATGGTAGGACATTTGGAAGGTGTGAAAAGTTTGGGAAAGTTAAGAAAAATCAGGAAATATTAATCTGAGAAGGAGGAGTCACAGGCCTTGCCTCTGAATTGTTCAACTCACTTCCATTGGAGCCTTTCAATCTTTCTGTTTTTTTAGATGCTGTAAGGATCTTAGTTTATATAATCTGTTTTTTAAAGCAATTATTTCATATTTTTACATTGTTTATCTTTGCAATGTACAATGAGTCAATGTATTGACTCAGAAAATCTTTTTCGTAAGTGTTTTATAAAAAATTAAAAAAATTACCCTATGTAGTTTTTCTCTTCTTTCCTCAGAGTCTGGCATCCCTCTGAGACTTGACGGAATGTACCAGAAACAAACGTTTGTGTGTTCAGGCTATATATCATAAAAGGAAATAAGCGAAGATTTTAAAAAATCACAAAGGCAGTTCATTAATGTACTCATCAAGAGGATTAATTTTCCTTGCTTACACAGTTACGGTACTTTGTTTGCCATGCCTTCTGATTTTGTCCTTCAAAGTTTAGAAGAACGGAGCAAAAAAAAATGCAAGTGAATGCACCCGAAAGCACTTAGGACATCACTGACAGACAGGCAATTTGCACAGGAACAAATAGAGATGTTTTCCAATTCATCACCACCGTCTTTACCTTTTTCTCCAGATTATTCTCATAATAAAAAATTCATGGGAAATATAAACAGTCCATTTGGAATGCCACCTTTTGATTGACAATCCTGTTCATGCCTGACCATAACCTTAAGACAGGGATCTCAAAATCCTGCAGAAGTTCAGTCAAACAGAAAGCCATTTCAGCTAGGATTCAAACCGTTGAACAGCATGTTTTCCTTTACTTAAGTAACAAATAATAAGCAGGCCGCTAGACTGGAACAAAATACATTTCAAGGCTTTAGTGATAACACCTTTTTCTAAGGGTTATGAATCAATTGAATTTCAGCGTTATGTACCTCACTGGTTTCAATTGATTTCATATTCTTCACCTGTCTACCAGAGATCAAAGAGATAAAACAACAGTAAATTTTGGGCTGGATGGAAAATTTTTCTATTGCAAAAATGTATAATTTAATTGAAAGTATTTTATGGTCTACAACTTACCTCTCCTTCAAAAACCATCTCAAACTCTTGCCTGTTTTTAATTTTATTATAGAGGTATTCTGACAATTCAAGACATTTGTTGATTTGACTTTCGAATCCCACTGTACCCTATTTTGAAAAGAGGGGGAAAGAAATAATTCAATCTCATATTCTTTCTGCATCCTCTAAATAGTTTGGAGAGTAAATCGTAGAAATTTGGAGTCAAACTGTATATTTCTTTTGTGAACCAAAGCTGAACAGCAATGAAATATGGAATATTTGTAAATGTTGTATGTATGGAACAACTTCATTTTAATGTTTTAGAGTTGTCCATATTTAAAAAAGAAGTACTTTGGCCTTTGTGTGAGCAAAGTACCATTTTGCTACTCATTTGCTATTCCCTTTTTTAGGCTTTTGCATGAGACCCCCCACTTCCACCCCCAAGAAGATATGGCTGGTAAGATAAGAGTAAGCAATTATACACAAAATATAGGCAGAATAGGAATTATGGTGCAAATTTCATGAATTGTTTTGCTTAGGTATTTAGAAAACTGATTTCTCCTTTCCCCAAGCTGTTTCACCTGGGAGATATCAATATTTAAATCAACAATTTGCTTATGTTTTCTAAGAATTTAAAGCCGTATTGAATAGGTTGGAATTGACATCTGGTTAAGCTTCTATAGAAATGTTCTGCATTTTGCTCATTATTTACCTTAGCTTTCCACATCAACCAGAATTTGAATATATCCACATGGCGTCCACATTGTATTGCTTTGTCTCCAGTGTCATAGGTGATATCATATTGCTTATCTTGTTGAAACAGATATCCTGCACACATCTGGTTGCAACCTTGAAGTATACCCTGTTGTAAAAAGCATGCCTGTTGAACATACGTCAAGCAAGAGATAAACGCAGTGCTGCATGCATTAAACATTATTGCATATGTGTTTGCTTAAGCTTTTAAAATTGGTATTACAGTTAAAGCCTCTTTTTTTTCTGAGTCAGTAGAAAATCCCAGAGACAACACACTCCATCCTGCAGCCCCATTTTTCTCTCTACTTCTTCTAGCAGAAGAGATCCTGATTCCAATCAATCCCAGAGGACCTCACAGCACAAAAAATCCAGTTGGGAAACACAGATGTCAATTATCCATATGATATTTTACTTAGACCCCAAAGTCTGCCGTATAGTACTGAGAACATATCAATGGCCCCTTATTTGAGTCCACATGTGTGGTATAGGAGCATTTCTTAGTCAAATGCTAAAGACCCAACATCTAAGAATGAAGACTAGAGGAACAATACTCCTCTTTTCAGAATCATTGTGGTTAACTATGCTAACCTCACAGTTGTGGGCACAAACATCTACCACCAGGAACCTTAATCCCACTCACTGCAATTGACACTCAGGAGTGTCCAACAGGAAAGGAATTTTTCCTTTCCCGTTGGGAAAGGCAGCTCATATAGGGTAGATTAAAGAAAATAGAAGGAGGGAGCATTCAATTTATGAAACAAACCTTTTCCCGAAGAAGAATGGCAGAACACTGCAGTAGGACTCCCATCATCTTGTGTGGATTCCATGTGACAGAGTTGGCTCTGCAAAACAAAGAAACGTGTTTAGAAGCCATGGAATCAGAGATGGTGATTTCTTATTCTCTAACATCTGGTAGGAGCAGTCTGGCGCCAGTGAGATCAAGGTAACCTGCACATCCACAATGGAGGTTATAGCACAACTAAAATATGTCAACCATTGTCAAATGGACTAATTAAAAGTCAATAACCCCATAATTAACACATTTTATAAGGTTGGATAACTATTGGCCTCCCGAGTAGACCAAACCGAAAACATAACAAAATGAATTAATCCTACTTTATTGTAAGGCTATAGTTTGAAAGCATGCAAATACGAGTAACAATAGCAATAGCACTTAGACTTATATACCACTTCACACTGCTTTACAGCCCTCTCTAAGTGGTTTACAGAGTCAGCCTATTGTCCCCAACAATCTGGGTCCTCATTTTAACAACCTCAGAAGAACAGAAGGCTGAGTTAACCTTGAACCAGTGAGACTTGAACTGCCAAACTGCTGGCAGTCAGTAGTCAGCAGAAGTAGCCTACAATACTGCATTCTAACCACTGCGCCACCACGGAGTATATACATAGGTATCACTTTGGTGGGAAGGTAACAGCATTCTGTGTGCCTTTGGCATATAGCCATGCTGGCCACAATAACCACGAAAGTGTCTTGGGACAACAGTGGCTCTCTTGACCAAGAAATGGAGATGAGCACCGCACCCTAGAGTTGGACATGACTGGATAGGGAAACCTTTACCTTTACCTTACAACACGGGTGTCAAACTTGATCATGTCATGGGCTGGATCATGATGTATCACAACACTTTTTGCCTTTGCAGAGCCAGGGTAGGTGTGGCCTGCACATGATGTATCTGACCCACAGGCCCCCAGTTTGACAGGCCTGCCTTAGAATAGCAAAATCTTGCAATTCTAAAAGGACAAATCTCCCATTGTCTCTTTTTATTGTCTGATAAATTAGGGTGGATTTTTTCTAAGTTTCTTTCTTTCTTTTTTTTTGCCTGTTATTCAGCTGCACATTTCCCCCTTTTATATGATCATTCCCTAAGTGGCATCTCTTCCCCTCATTTCCCAAGATCATTTGTAATGATCAGAGCATCCTGTAATCTTATGATGGCCATCTGAGATCTTCCTAGCTGGCTTCCAACAAGCAAAGTCAGTAGGGAAGCTAGCAATGAAAGTGCTGTTGTCATGTGATTGTCATGTGATTTTTCACTTAACAATTGCAGCAAAAAAGGTTATGAAATCAGGTGCTCACTTAATGACCACACTGCCTAATGACAAATGTATTGATCCCTATTGTGGGGAAGACTTACAACCATTAAAACATTCTCAGAGATTCTTCCCATCCTGCTTACAATCTTTTTGGACTGTTGCCTTTTGGCAGAAGATACAGAACAATTAAAACTCAGACCACACGTTTTCTGAATAGTTTTTATCCCAGAGCTATAATTGCACTCAACAATGAACTAAAGGGCCACCATCAGTGAGCTGTTGGACAGCATTACTTGGTCTGTTGTGTGGATGTTTCGGTGGTTTAGCGGTGGGGAATTTGGGGTGGGTGGGTGGGTATTTGGGGATTGTTATGTGTGTTGGACCTGGTCTTTGGGTGTTAAGTGAATTTCGTTGTATGGGTATACTGTGTATACATGTACAATGACAATAAAGTTGTTTGTTGTTGTTGTTGTTGTTGTTGTTGTTATTATTATTATTATTATTATTATTATTATTATTATTATTATTATTATTATTATTAATGTTGAGCCTTATAGACTTTCTTTGGGATTATCTGTCAACACTTCTATTCATTTTGAAGGAGCTAAGAAGAATGAATATACATTGAAATGGTCCCCCCCAGTCCCCCTGATTCAGCTGGAGGAACTACAGAATAGCCAGATGATTCCTTAGGTTTTCAAGAAGGAATCATTGTGGATGCATTTCTAAATGTGGATATATTTTTTGCAAGAGATTCTGGGTGAAAATACAAGAACTGAAAATTCAAGAAATATACCGATACTGTATCTTATAAGAATCTCTCTTAAGCATTTCTTAATAGTATAATGACTAAATATGACTTTGATCGGCTGGTACTTTGAGGAAATGAAAATTGCCACACTGCTATTAAAATTGTGTCCATAAGAGGGCTCTTTCAAGAATTAAATTAGTGCATCAGCTTACCAGCTGAAAACTGACAGTAATTAATTGGCATTCATTATACCATCAGCTTATCATTATTGTCTCTTAAATAGCAAAATTAATCCTAAAAGAACAGCTGCCCTGAATGTATTTTCCATCCTTTGGGCAGCTTGTCATATTGTTTCCTCCACAAAATTAAACTATTTCAAGGTTCTGCCACTTGATATGCAATCATAATATGTTCATTTGTCAACATTTTAGTCTTAGTACTGCAGCAACTTAGCACCAGCTAGGTCCAGTGGTGGGTTTCTCGTCTCAGTAGTGGTGGCAGCGGGAGGCTCTGCCCACCTGCCCAGATGTCATCACGGACGCTCTGCACATGAGCAGAAGTGCCGCACGTGAGCAAAGTGTGCGCACACTCCCAGTTCTGAACTGGTAGCGAAGGTAAGTGTAACCCACTACTGGGTAGGTCCCCAAATAATTCTAGTTAATTATGATCTAATGCAGGTTGAAGACATTCGTGCAGCCCATTTTTCTAAGGTACATTTATCCAATTCAAATCATGGTTCACATATGCCACTGAATACAATATTCATAATTACCGTAGATTATGCGAAACAGAGGTTGCTGAATTATAACCAGCACTGACAAGATGGCTGAGAGGGCGATGGGGGAGGGGGGAGGCTGGAAGTTGTAATTCAAGTCCAACAACATTTGGGAAATCTCTTCCATTCTTGTTGGAGGTTGGGGGAAGAGAATGCTTATGCTGATATATTTATAAAAAGTCATTTTTCCCCCTGCAGAATTTTAAATTATGTACCTTTCTATACCATTCAGCTTGTGACGATGCTTTCTAGACATCAGTAACCCACCTCCCCAGGCAGCCTGGAACAGATGAGAAAAATTGGTAAACTTCGGGAATTGAATTGGGAACTTGAAATATTTTTTAAAGATACTTAATTTCAGCAAAAAACTCACTGTATTAATTCTCCCTAAAGAAGGAATGGTGGACCTATTTTCCACAATCTTAGCCATGCAATAATTCGTAGAGCAATGCAATAATTTATTTGTATTATAATGCTCTAATCAATACATCACTATCAGAAGTGGGTTTCAGCAGGTTCTGACCAGTTCTGGAGAACCGGTAGCGGAAATTTTGAGCAGTTCGGAGAACCGGTAGTAAAAATTCTGACTGGCCCTGCCCCTGTCTATTCTCTGCCTCCCAAGTCCCAGCTGATTGGGAGGAAATGGGGATTTTGCAGTAACCTTCCCCTGGAATGGGGTGGGAATGGAGATATTACAGTATCCTTCCCCTGCCACGCCCACCAAGCCACACACACAGAACCAGTAGTAAAAAATTTTGAAACCCACCACTGATCACTACTCAAAAGCCTAGCTCATTGGCTGAATTCACATGACATATCTGATTTATGGGTAAATGACGTACATGATGATGATCCTGCAGGCAATCTAGGAAAACATAGTTTTCCTGGTTGTACTGGTTTGTTAACTGCCTTAGACATCATTTTTACAGTGATTGATAGGTTTTTTAAATTTCCCGCTTTTAAAAAAAAAAATGAGGGAGGCAGTAATTGTTATTTTAATATGGTATGATCAGTAGAAAGCTTAGCCTCCTCTCAACTGCTCTGTTTAAGCAAGACACCCACCCACAATGGGTTAAAAGAAAAAAAAACCCACTAAAATAATCTGACTGGTGTTGACTTATTTGCAGAGCTGTTCTCGTGTCTCATCTCTGTCTAGAAGCTGACAGAGGAGTTTAAGTTGCTGAGTAATTAACATGTGATAGTTCTGACATGATCCTATCTTGAAATGATTGGGACGTAACTTTGCACAATACAACTGATTTTGCTAAGAACGTCATGCAAGCATGGCCATTTTGTTTCATGGGCTTTATTTCCAAGTAAAATGGATTGGGATTATGCAGCCCTGGTTACTTACATCCACATGGAGCCAAAGATTATACTTATCACAGATGTCTGCTATCTCTGGAATGGGATCAAAGGCTCCATAAACGGTTGTGCCAGCAGTTGCAGTCACATAAAGGGGAATGTATCCCTGTAAAGAAAAACAGAGAAGAAGCTCTATTGTGAAATACATTTTTTTTTCAAATAAGATTCACACTAACTTAAAGTACAATTGTTCCGAGTTCTTTTTAATTGTTGCATGTTTTTTCTTTGACTTTTCCAAAGACACTAAAGGAGATGATGGAAAAATATCTAATAATTACAATCCATTGTAAAGGCAGCAATGCTCTGGAAACACATTGAATAACCACAAGCATTGAAGAAAACTTTTCAGAGAATACACATTATCATCCTTTTATCAGGACACAAGATTTTTCTGCATTTGCTTCAAATTAAAAAATACAAGGTCTTGGTACTTAACCTGAGTCTCTCGACTCCCTAGCTTCCTTTACATGGCCCTCGTTCCTCTCCACCGTTTTAGTATAAGAATATGAAAATTAAACGTAGCCATTTTAAGGCTACATAAGATGGGGAAAAGTGCATTGGTGGAGAAGGAATCAACTGAAAAAAATAGATGGGTTGAAGAAAAAATTTGGAAGTGGGGATTTCCTCTGGATGACACTGCTTTTTATTCTTACCACATTAGATAGTCCTCAGTTTACAACCAATCATTTAGTGGTGTTCGAAGTTACAACAGCACTGAAAAAAGTGATTTATGACTGATTTTCACACTTATGACCATTGCAGAAGCCCGAAGGTCAAGTGATCAAAATTTGGACAATTGGCTACTGACATATATTTATGATCACTTGCACTGATCACCAGTTGTAATCTTTCCAGTTCGATAAGCAAAATCGATGATGATATTTATTTGCTACTGATCTCATTTCAAAGCAATTCTGGGCGAGTCAATGGGGGAAGCCAAATTCACATAACAACTATAGCGATTTGCTTCAAAACTTTGGCAAAAAAAAAAAAAGGATGTAAAATGGGGCAAAACTCACTTAACAATGCCTTGCTTAGCGACAGAAATTTGGGGTTCAGTTGTGATCCCAAATAGAGGACTACCTATATACATCTTGTTTTCTGTACAATCCAGAATATCTTAATGCGACCTTCAGCCAAATTTGTGCACTCATGATGTAAAGCATGGATGTACAACTTCTACCGACATAGCGGTCGTACCGTACTTGATTTCACATCATGCTATACTGAAGTCCCTGGGCTTGAGGTGGTTCAAGAGTACATCGAAAGGTTTCCAGCAGGAGATGAGTGAGCCCTGACCACATTTTTGACATTCCTGAAGTAAATTGTAACCTTAAGAACGAGTATGAGATGTACAGTAAATATAGCTGCTCCTTTTCTTTTAACTAAACTTGGTGATAAATCTTAACGGAAGTGAAAACTATTAAGAAGTTGCCCTCATGAATCTCACTGTGAGACAATTGTAATAATGATACAATTGGCAAAGAGAAAATAGTCACATGAGTCCATTCAAAGAGGAATGAAATATACAAAGGAAGGGACATTACTATGAGAATTCTTGTCTTAGTTTATCAGTATTCTTATAAGGTGAATTGGCTAAAAAACAATTATATGTTCTAATCTTCAATAAAATTTCAAGAACTTTGCTGAAGGATCAGGAGAATTTTTTCCAAGAATTTGACTTATAACATGGAATGCGTTCCCTGTGGAAATTCACATGTGGAAGATGGAGAGGGCCATTTATGCTGCTTAGTGGTTATGGAGATTCTCAATCATCCAGCTCATGATTATCCCAAAGGTGCTTTTTCCAAAAGGCAGCTGGGCTTCCTTGTTTTCTTTTCCTTTGCAAACATTTCACTTCTCATCCAAGAAGCTTCTTCAGTTCCAGTTTATGCTGCTGAGCCTATTAGTTCTTATAGTTAACCTGCCTTTCAATGTGATGGATGAAGAATGAAAGCTGATACACATTTATTTAGAAGTAAGTGCTACTGTGTCCAAATTGTAAACATGTTCTAAATAAAATAAGAAAATTAAGTAGGAGATCTTTTCCTCTTTTTTTTTTTAAAAAAAATACCTTTTGTTTGGCATCCAGGATTTTGGCTTCTAGATCAGCAGGTATTATTTTGCCCCTGCAACCAAAGTGAAACGTGAAAGCCAAATCTGACATACAAGAAAGAAGAATGAAAAAAGGACTAAACAGAAATGAAACAACAGTAGGGCATTCACTGATGCTGTTATTATGTCCTTAGCATTGTTCCAACCTAAACATAAACACAAAGACACCCAGCTAAAGATGTATAAATATCTCACCTTTCATTGCACTTTATTAAAATCACATTTTCAGTACCAAATCCAAGCGCAGCTCCAGCTTTCTTTATTGAATAGTGACTCTGAAACAACGATCAATAGATAATGTTAATTTGCTATGAATGCTTTTGAACTCCAAAATGCTAAGGAGGAAGAAGGGAAATGAAACAAAATAGACTTAATCTCTCCAGAACAAGGCTGATGACAAAAATCACAATATCCAGTCATCACAATCATGTTAATTGAAATTATTGAGCTCACATGTTCTGAGGTAAAAAGGACCAGTTTAGGCACTGCAGCCATGCCTTTGGTTTTGACTTCTGGGAAATATTTATAACGGGCAGCCATGATGCTATACATATTGGATATAGCGCCACCTATAATGAAAGGACCCAACAATAGAATATTAGAAATGTGAAAATAAGAAGTCTGATACAGTTCTATGTCAAAGGTATAAACGGTATTCATGAACTATGTTGCAAATGTAGCCAAAAAAGCATCAATATCCAATGAACCAATAGATAAAAGTTAATGATAATTACCTCTGTTTTTACTCAAGGCTAACTCTCCCATTTTATGAATATTACCTTTTTTAAGGTAATTACCTTTTTTAAGATAATATTTGCAAAAACTTCAAATTCAACAACGTTCCTCAGGAAGTGGAGAATAAAATATAGTTTCCTGAAATCTCTGCTTAAACATTCTCTTGGGACCAATAGAAATTCTATTGGTCCCAATTGTTTTGTGTTGTTTTGGATATTGTCATGGTTACACACAAACAAGAACATTTTTACATTTCTATTAAAAGGGAAGCATATTAAGGTTTTAGTTAATATGTTAGTTAATATGTTGACTATCTTAAGTCACATTATCAAGAAAGGTTAGGAAAGTTAACTTTGCTAATATTGAAGATGGCAATAATTAAAATACGCAATACTAAAAGCATAGAAAACCACTCAGTATATATAATTAGCCTCATTTAATATAAGTAAGCAGGTTAAAAACCTAAAAGTTATGCACGTTATAAAATAGGAGAATGTCCTTTGTTTGGCCTCTGAAGGAAAGTAATTTAGAGACTGTAACTGAAAGCCAAAAATCAAAAGGAGTCTAGTACCACCTTTTCAGAATAACGAAGTTAAATTAAAAAGCATAAGTTTTTCTGACTTACTGTACTGAGTTACATATGATAGGTCTAAAAGCATACAGACCATTGATGGGATTCAGCCAGTTCGCACAACTTCAGGAGAACCGGTTGTTAACTTTTTGAGCAGTTTGGCAAACTGGTTGTTGGAAGAAATCATTAGGGCAGGGAACCGGTTGTTAAATTACTTGAATCCCACCACTGATACAGACTATCTGCTTATGTTCAGTTGCTGATTGGGCTTTGCAGCATTACTGACCACTGGTGGGATTCAAAATTTTTTACTACTGGTTCTGTGGCTGTGGCTTGCTGGGCATGGCATGGCATGGCTTGGTGGGCATGGCAGGGGAAGGATACTGTAAAATCTCCATTCCCTCCCCACTCCAGGGGAAGGTTACTGCAAAAGCCCCATTTCCTCCCAATCAGCTGGGACTCGGGAGGCAGAGAATAGATGGGGGCGGGGCCAGTCAGAGGTGGTATTTACCAGTTCTATGAACTACTCAAAATTTCTGCTATCAGTTCTCCAGAACTGGTCAGAATCTGCTGAATACCACCTCTGTGACTGACCACCTGGGTGCTAGAGACAACTTGTCAAGAATGGAGTGGAACCAGCCTGGAAACCCTTTATGGACTTTTTGCTGAAATTAGAAAAAAAAATGAATGTGTGATTTATGGGTTAGAAGATTATAAAGAGTTAGACAGAGAAGGTACAATATTCATGCATTTATAATCACTGTCAAAAAGATTGGAAGGCCCTTTTTAATGATAATTTCTTTCCTTTCTTTTTCTTTTTTCTGTCTTATTCACTATCCTTTTTATTTTCTTTATTTTCTAATATTTGCATTGGTTTATTTTGTTAAACATTTATTCAATTAAAAAAATGGAATTAAACCTACCAGGTGAGAATATTCCATCGCCATCTTTATTGGACCATCCAATAATCTCTCTCATTTTTCGAAGAGTTATTTGTTCCATGAGTACAAAAACAGGTGCAATTTCATACGTAAACCTGCGTAAACAAACATAAATAAATAAATACAGGTAATCCTTGACTTACAACAGTTTGCTTAGTGACCATTTAAAGTTACAACGGCACTGAAAAAAGTCACTTATGACCATTTTTCACACTTACAGCCGTTATAGCAATCCCACAGTCATGTGATCAAAATTCAGATGCTTGGCAACTGGCTCATATTTAAGACAGTTGATGTGTCCCAGATGTCATGGGATCCCCTTTTGCGACCTTCTGACAAGCAAAGTCAATGGGGAAACCAGATTCACTTAACAGTTGTGTTACTAACTTAACAATTGCAATGATTCACTTAACAAATGTGGCAAGAAAAGTCGTCAAACGGGGCAAAATTCACTTAACAAATGTCTCACTTAGCAACAGAAATGTTGGGCTCAGTTGTGGTCATAAATTGAGGACACTTGTAAATATTTTTACTTGACAAAATGCTGGTTTTCTATTTCCCAAACACAGAAAGTTATGAAAACAGTATCCTAACACCATCAGAAAGCTACTCAGAAAGAAAATTAGAAATACTTGAGCTTTAAAAAAGTCATATTTACAGGAATGTATTTGGCTTTCTCCAGAGAGCAAATTATAAATGCCACACTATCAATACCTCTCAGCAGTTATTAAAAAGGGAGATATTCTAATTACTAATTACAGATAACAAAATGGCAATTCACTGTTTTGTCCATTTAGTACCAAGCATAATATCCATAGCTTATAGTTTAATATATCGTCTATTTCTCCCCATGTACCAAAATTCCCACATAAAGCCATTTTGTTCTCTTTGAGGATCAAGAAAAGGCTAAAAAAGAATTACTTTGGGTATGGAGTGGAAAGTTTTCCTTCATTAAGGTTGCAGCAGAAGGTTATTACGTCTCACTGAAACTATACTGGAAATAAACCAAAGAGGAGCTAATTGCCGTAATATAATTCTTCCACTCTATTGGGTAACAAAGATCGCAACTAAGTCCTGCCAGCTATTACAGCAAGACAGTAAATGGTTATGCCTCAACAATTAAAATAGTATGCTACTTTGGGAGGAGCTGCCAAACATCAAGGCTCATAATATTGGAAAAGACCATTTAAGCCATGCAGTCCAACGCTTACTTGTAACCAGAACATAAACAACAACACTTCCAAAGAGCATCGCATGAACCTACGGATACAACTCGTTCTGAATGTACATTAACAGGGTATCTATAACCAATCACAACTTTCTGAGCAAACAATTTGATAGGGCTCCTATGAAGTACAGAGCATTATGCACTCCTACGGTATTAACACATCGGATTTACTTTAATGTTCAATAATGAATCAATTAATTACCTTTGCTTACCACAAAGCGAGCAAGGTTTGCAACAATAAAGCAATAAAAGGAACACAGTGCGGTGACACAATCTATGATTTAAAAAGTCAGCCATTGTAAGTAAGCAACGTAACATGAAAAGGTAGACTGAAGGATGCCGAACAAATCCTGCTGAAGATCCAGCAAGGTGGCCCTCCTGATACTGCAACCTCCAGAGGAAGGACAGGATTTATTCTGTGTTGGGCATCTACCCTAAGAGACACAATGCTAGGACAGATATAAGGCCTTGGACATCAAAGCTGGAAATCCTGCATATTTTAGAATAGAATAGAATAGAATAGAATTCTTTATTGGCCAAGTGTGATTGGAGACACAAGGAATTTGTCTTGGTGCATATGCTCTCAGTGTTACATAAAAGAAAAGATACGTTCATCAAGAATTATAAGGTATTTCATTTTGTATTTCATTCAACAATATCTGGTACGTTTTCTATTCTCTTGCCATTTCATTTACTTAGGGATCATTTCCCCACTCCTTGGATGGTTTTTCTTTCTTTCTTTTTTTTTTCTGTTTCTTTTTCCATTCTCCATGGTTACTGTGGAAGCCGAGCAGACCTCGGCAGCTCCTCCCAGTGGCCACCATTTTAACTTTCCCAGAAAGCTCGGCAAAATGTTTGCTAGTACAAAAAAACAAGGTTAGGTTCAGTGACTAGGTTGGTTCAGCTTCCATTCTGCGGAAGTGGAAGGGAGGAAATCACAGCCACCAAAGAGAGATCGATATAAGAACCCTCCCCCTCCTTTTGGGGAGTGTGTGTGGGGGGGTGGGGGGACACAGGATTTCCTTTCACTAGCAGTGACAAGGAAATGCATTTGATTGTTGCTCCTGGTCGTTTCTCAAGCCCATCTCAACCATTACATTGTTTGGAGATGTTCCCGGGGAGGGAAAGAGATGGGTAGAATGCAGTTGCCACTAACAGCTGCCATTATAATTTTTATTCCTTGCATGACAGTGAAATGGATGGGGCTGGCCTTAGGAGGCAGATGCTGCAAGCAGTGATGGCAGCCCCCAAGCTGTCAGTGGAAAGAGTGGCATACTCCACGCAAACAAATATGGGACCATTGAAGTTGCCTGCTACGGCAGGGATGGTAGGGGGCCTTGTTCCACCTTTAAATTGACCCTGCCCTGTTTTTTATTTTTCCCAGCCATATGCTGGAATTATGTAATGTTTATCTGGGAAGAAAACAGTAGCCACAAGAACAGCCTGCTAATGTGTGTTCTGTTGCTGCTGTCACTGCAGGCAACCGGGAATAAGAATGAAAAAGCAGGACCACAAAGGGAGAAAAGCTCTCCAAAGGGAACCAAGCGCCGAATGGCCTTTTCACAAAGAAATGAAGCTTCCAGCAAAAAAGCAAATTAAACGTATCAAGGGAACCAACATCGTTTCAAAGAACAAACATGTCCGCTCTATTATATATGCTCAGCGTATCGTGTTTCTAAAGGGCTGTGGTAGAATGTTTAACTTATTTAACAATTGGCTGGTTCCTGAAACGCCCTTCTGTGACCAGAAGACTTTTCCTGTGTGCAAAAGATCATGGAGATTTGCATACAATGCATTCAAGGAATAAATGAAGAATTAACAAAAAAGCGCATAAATACGTGTCTGCTTAAGTGCTACAATATGTAGTACCCAGCTTCAGGTAGGTAAATAATCGTGGGTAGGAATCAATGCCTGGGGAAACCTGGGGTGGGAGTAGGAATTTACAAGTACAGGTAATCCTCAACTTACCACAGTTTGTTGAATGACCATTCAAAGTTACAACAGCATTGAAAAAAGTGAGTTAGGACCATTTTTCACACTTAAGACCGTTGCAGCATCCCCATGGTCACGTGATTTACATTCAGATGCCTGACAACTGCTTCATATTTATGACGGTTGTAGTGTCCCAGGATCATGTAATCACCTTTTGCGACTTTCTGACAAGCAAAGTCAATGGGGAAGTCGGATTCATTTAACAACCGGGTTACTAATTTAACACCTGCAGTGATTCACTTAACAAATGTGGCAAGAAAAGTCATAACATGGGACAAAACTCTTAACAAATGTCTCACTTAGCAACATAAATTCTGGGCTCAATTATGGTCGTAAGGTGAGGACTACCTGTAATAAAATAAGCACTGCAATGCAAAGTATGTTTGTTAGTAATTGTGTTATAAGGTCACATATAAGCACGGAACTTGCAGCGCTTGGTAGAGATAATATAATGCATCAGGAATTTCTTTCCTAATCTGTGATATATCCCACCATACTACTGTCAGCTGTTTAGATGCGCTATGCTTATACATGGATCTAGCAATCTTCCAAAAGAGCTCTAACCCTATCTAGAACTATTACCACAGGAGCAGTGACAGAAAATGGGTTGGGTGATGCAGCAGGAATGGCCATGATGCTGCACTGCAAATCCCACCAAATGTCTGTCAGCTGCTCAACTGGGCCATTTTTACACATTCCTGGAGCAATTTTTGGTAGGCGATAAAGTCACCAGTTTAGATATTTATGAGAAGTTAGCAAGTGGTATCCTTCCATAAGGAGAGTGATGTTTTCTTCCCTGCTGGTGGAATTTAGTGGAAGGAAAAAGAAAAATTCCTTTCCTCCATGTGTCTGTTTGCAGTACAGAAGAATGCTTGTCATTTGCTGACAGCATAGCTTTGGCTGAGTAGGAAATGGCAATAAAAACAAGAAATGTCATGTTAATTTAGTTTTTTGCTAGTTCAGTGGTAGGCAAATAACCTTTAACTTGGCCATGTGGAAGAGCCTTAAAACAAAAATCTTTAACCAAGGTCTAAATTGTTGGATCGAGGTAAGGACGCTCAAGTTCTAGTCTACCATCAACCATGGAAGCTTGCTGGGAGCACTTCCTTTGGTCCTGTTACTCTTTCCCGGCGTGCTGTACCATACAGGATTGGATTGTTGTTGTGGGGAAAAATGAGGAGTGTTATGTATACCACCTTGACAGTGGTGGAATTCAAATTTTTTTACTACCAATTCTGTGGGCGTGGCTTGGTGGGCATGGCAGGGGAAGGATACTGCAAAATCTCCATTCCCTCCCCGCTCTGGGGCCAGCCAGAGATGGCATTTGCCGGTTCTCCGAACTACTCAAAATTTCCACTACCAGTTCTCCAGAACCTGTCAGAACCTGCTGAATAGCACCCCTGCACCTTGAATGAAAAACAGGTAATAAATCTAATATATAATTAGACATACATTTCACTGGAGAATAATGATAAAAATACTCCATCATCTCACTGAATTCCATGGAATATAAATTTTAATTGTCTGGACTGGGTACTTCAATATTTTTTTCTAGGATACTGTGGAGCATAAATCAGCTTAATTAAAAATAGGTCCCTTTGCTGCTTTGAATAGTAGCACTGAATGGAAAAATCAAATGCACAAGAAAGAATATACAGACTATTGTACACTAAAGCAAATGAGGAAGCTTTCTCAGGTCAAATATTTTGCAGAATTCAACAGAAGAACATATATGTTATTTCACCAAGCTAACATGGGCTCCACAGAACCTCCTTAGTGGACAATTAGACATTTCCTTTTCAGTTTGCAAGTGAAATGTCTCCATCTTATAACACACAGCTTTTCTGTCTTGAGGCATTTTCAACCACTTATGAATGTAGCCATCATAGCATGCAATGACACACAAGAGACAAAACACATAGAACAAGGATCTAAATTCACTTTTGAATGGGATGAATGCAGCCCTGTCATTCTTTATAAAGGTCTTGCAGATCAGGGCAGAGTTGTCATCTCCTATTTTTCTATATCACGTTCATAGAGAACAGGAGACGGGCTTTTATATCAAAAGGCCAATTTCAATGGTTACCAGGCATTTCATATCCCCTATCTGGACTTTAATATTAATAAATGCAGTAACAACAGCATTTGTGAGAAATGTAAAACTAACTAGTGCCTTCCACCAGCTTGATTCCTGTTCCTATTTACACTCTTTTAATGCTTCAAAAGGGGATATGGTGGCTCAGTGGCTAAGATGCTGAACTTGTCGATCGAAAGGTCGGCAGTTCAGCGGTTCGAATCCCTAGTGCCGCGTAACGGGGTGAGCTCCCGTTACTTGTCTCAGCTTCTGCCAACCTAGCAGTTCGAAAGCATGTAAAAAACGCAAGTAAAAAAATAGGGACCACCTTTGGTGGGAAGGTAACAGCATTCTGTGTGCCTTTGGCATTTAGTCATGCCGGCCACATAACCATGGAGATGTCTTTGGACAGCGCTGGCTCTTCGGCTTTGAAACAGAGATGAGCACCACCCCTTAGAATCGGGAATGACTAGTACATATATGCGAGGGAAATCTTTACCTTTAATGCTTCCAGCGAGGGAATTGTTTTTCCATTTTGCATCTTATAAGCTTTTTCTATGACCACAGACAGGCAATTCAAGCCAAATCTTGAAAGCTTGGTCTTGGTTTTAATTAACCTGATTTCAAGGTCAATGGCTGCTGTGCTCCTTGGCAGCAAATCTGCCAGCTGTGCCTAATAAGACTGAGAAGGGGCAGGCTCCAATCCTTTACAGAAAAAAACTTGCTGACCTCTGCTTTTCTGTGGCTTTGGCTGTTTCTCTTTTCCTCTCACATTGCAGATCCATTAACCTCCCCGTAAACACCATAGAACAGCACAACCCCAGAGCTGCCTTAGTGTTTCCAATATTTTCTAGCTACAATTTGTACAGTAACCTGTAACTACTAAATGTCTATGGAGATTCTCAGTCATCTTGTCCCAAAAGTGTTTTTTCAAGTGGCAACTGGACTTTCTGGTTTTTCTTCAAAGAAAAATCAGGAAGTCCAATTGCTTCTTGAAAAAGCACTTTGGGATAACCTGTAATTAATTCATCTAAGCATACTTTATTATCTTTCTGTCACTCAGGGAAGAGTGAAAGGACACAGGTGAAGAAAAGAGAAGAGAGCTAAGGAAACCACTTTTCCCTGTCTTCTTGTTTTTATCTTTTGTAAAAATTCACATGGACATAAGTCTGAAGGTTTACTGCTTGTTTAAAAAGTTTTGAATGCTGCGTTTAATAGCAATGAGGCTCAGAGATTGTCCCTTAACTAGGCCTTTCCTGAAGTGCAGGTATACAACTCAACTTTGGCCACGATCCCCTCGGATTTGAATCTGATTTCTGGGCACCAAAGAAAAGAAAAGCTGTGCTTACATGTTTGTATTAGCTGTAGAGGTCAGCCATTCCCCAGCCAAACCAATGATATCAAGCCCCGTGGAAAGCTGGTTGAAAAAGCGAGGGTGACCTAGGAAAAAAAAAAAGACAGCTGCTTAAATATCATAGTTATCGGTTCATTCATATTTATATCCATTATAGAGAAAATAGAGAAGAGACAACCAATTCTATACATTTACCAGCAATGTTGTAGAACAGGAGTGTCAAACTCGATCCCATTGTGGGCCGTATCAGTTTGTTTGTTTGTCCTTGGGGGGCTGGGGTGGGCGTGGCCTGATTGTCATGGCCAACTGCATGGGCGTGGCCAGGGTGAGCCGGGTCCCTAGCTGTCTCCAGGACGGCCCCACGGGACAGCTCTGGGCCTATTGTAGGCCGGATGCAGCCTGTGGGCTGCGTGTCTAATGTGTCTGTTGTAGAGGAATTGTGAGTTCAGAAGGCATTCCTTCTTAATTTTATGAATAGGAAAAAATACAGTAGTTCTCAATTTACAGCCATTCATTTAGCATCCGTTCAAATTTACAACAGCCCTGAAAAAAGTGACTTACAATTAATCCTTGCACTTAACAATCATGTGCAGGATCCCCTTGGTCACGTGATGAAAATTCAGGCGCTTGGCAACTGACCTGTATTTACTACAATTGCAGTATGCCAGGGCCGTGGGATTGTCATTTGTGACCTTCCCAGCTAGCTTCAACAAGCAAAGTCAATGGAGGAAGCTGGATTCACTTAACAATGTGTGATTCACTTAACAACTGCAGTGATTCGTTTCATTGTGGCATAAGTTGTAAAATTGGATGCGACTCATTTAATAACCGCCTTGCTTGGAAATTCTGGTCCCAAATGCGCTATTGTTTCAGTGATTTACCAGAAAGTCCAGTTGCCTTTTAAAAGAAAAAAAGCACATTTGGGTATTTCAGTGATTGCTTTGATAGTGATTTTCCCATTAAAGGCATAGCCTGATCTATATTTCCCTTGCTTGCTGCTAATGCTAGTCTTCCTCTTTGTCATTTGTAGATGTCAGGAACTGCTCTTAGTAGGCGATAGAAAAGAAAATTTCCTTCCTTCCTTCCTTCCTTCCTTCCTTCCTTCCTTCCTTCCTTCCTTCTCCCTCCCTCCCTCCTTTCCTTTCCTTTCCTTTCCTTTCCTTTCCTTTCCTTTCCTTTCCTTTCCTTTCCTTCTTTCCTTTCCTTTCCTTTCCTTTCCCTCCCTCTCTCCCTCCCTCCTATCTTTCAACATCCTACTCTGAAACACAATCCATTAAACTATCTTCCCTTGAAACTAATGTGGAGAATGAAGTCAAACTCAGATGTAGAAATGTCTGTTTTGGTATTTATGCTGGGATAATTACATTATAACATGTTAACATATTGAAGACTTCATCCCTATGCATATCTACCAGTAGCACGCATTTTGGAATATAGTGAGACTTCATTCTAAAATAAATTATAGATTGCCCTGTAAATGTGAAATAAGCATGTCATTTATTTTAAAGTGTTTATGGGTTTTAAGGATTAATATGGAATAATATCACATTATTTTAAATGAAAGAAACATAGCTTCAACATTAGAAAACAGATTTAACTTGCAGCAGGAACTAGCTATGGAAAAAGACAGTAGATCCTGTTCTCATGAAAGTTGTGGAGCCATTTGCCTATATCTTTCACTTTCACCTTCACTCTTTTTGTTGTTTTAGAGCACGGGTGTCAAATTTGCTGCGTCATGTTGCTGTCACATGACATATCACAACATTTTTTCCCCTTCGCGGATCTGGGGTGAGCGTGATGCATCTGGCCGGCAGGCCACCAGTTTGACACCCCTGTTTTAAGAGACTGAACAATCTTTTCAATCTGGTGTTGGCCAGATCTGATAGACCTCAACTCAAACTAGTCAAAATATCATGCTGGTTGGGGATTATGGGAGTTAGTCCAACACCTCTGAAAAACACCAGATTAAGTAAAGCTGATTCCAAAGATAGCAATAGCACTTAGATTTATATACTGCTTTACAGTGCTTTACAGCCCTCCCTAAACGGTTTTCAGAGTTAACATGTTGCCCCCAACAATCTGGGTCCTCATTTTACCGATCTTGGAAGGATGAAAGGCTGAGTCAACCTTGAGCCAGATGGGATTCAAACTGCCAAATTTCAGGCAACCAGCAGTCAGCAGAAGTAGCCTGTAGTACTGCATTAACCACTGCACCACCGTGGGTCTACAAAGATGATCTTTGTAGGCAAACTAATTAACTCTCATAATTTGTAGGCAAAGAGCAAACATATTTTGCCACTGTTTATTTATTTAGTCATCTATTAATTCCTACAGTCCAAGGCAGTAACAGTGCTAGGAGTGGCATATACTGATATAGTTTTAGTAGCATCCTACACTGTATGCCCTTTTTAGCTACTATCCTTAGTATGAAATGTTTGGTGAGTAGCTTAGTTGTCATGCCAAATTCTGACTAGCATGTCTTGCTGCAGCAATACATATGACCAAACTTGGAGAATGATAAAAAGTGATCTCCAATCCAAAGGTTATATTTGCATTTGTTGTGCCTTACAGATACTGATTTTTTCTGACAGCAATTCAAAGCCGTAGGCAAGAACTCTGCTGCATTTTTCAACAGGCGCAAGAAGGTTGTTTGCTTTCTCCACCACGCCTCAAATGAACAGGGTTTTTAAAGGCAAACTTCCGAAGTAAAATAGTACATTACAATCTTGCCACCTTCTGGTTGTGGATTTACACAGGAACATCCCATCAGAAGATCTATTCGTAGGCCACACTCCAAAGCCAAAGACCTGCATAGTTGAGAATTCAATCTACCTCAGTTGGAATGTCACATTCCTACCGCAATCCTAGCAGTAGTAATTACATGGTTAGCACTGACACTTCAGCAGAGTCCAAATTGGGACCTGGGCTAATGCTATTACATTCTTCAGGCAGAAGGAAGCTGTACAAATTTAAGAATCTTGCTAATGAAGAAGCAATCTTAAGTGATATCAAAATCAGGATCCCTTTAAAACAGGGGTGTCAAACTCAAGGCTCGGGGGCGAATCCGGTTCTCGGGGTGCTTAGATCTGGGCCGCAGGGCCACCCTGGAAACAGCGAAGGACTGGCCCGTGGTGCTTCTGCCAGTGAAAATGCAGCCCTCCTGAGCTTCGTTTTCACTGACAGAGGGTTGCAGGAGGCCGTGGCAGCCAAAAACAGAGCTCGGGAGCCCATTTTCACTGGCAAAACACTTGGGCCACCACAGGTACTCCTGACAGGAGTGACGTTGAGCTGGCTATGCCCCCCGGCCCCCGAAATCATACACAACCCTGATGAGGCCCTCAATGAAATCAAGTTTGACACCCCTGCTTTAAAATATTAGACCCACTGAGAAAAACTTCCATAGCTTTTTCCTAGTCCCTAGGAGACCCCCCTCGATCTTCATACTTTACAATGCTGGACAGTTCCCTTGAAAATCAGAGTGATCTCCTACTTTCATCAAACCACCACAGAACTTCCCTGGTCTCATTAGTTTAGACAGCCAATTTACCATTCTCTGAGATTGAAAAGCAATATTGTTGGTCCAATGCAAATTAGAGAGCAAACTGACCAAACATGAGAAGCCTTTTCTCTTGCACAAAGGAAAACATTCTGCTCACAGAAAGGAGTTTCCCCATTAAGCAACCAGGAATCTCCCTACTTATGAAAGGAACAGAGAAGTCCTATTGCCATAGATAACTCCATGCATATTGTTGTGGCCCGCCGGCGGCCAGGAGAGCTGGCAGCAGAGTCGGACAGTGAGGAGGTTGGGGAGGAACATGAGCCAGTCCTGGGGGCTGGGGAAAGCTCAGACGAGGGCTCTGCGTCAGAGGCAGAGAGGGAGCTAGGCAGCAGTGAGGCAGAGGAACAGCTGGAGCCTGTTCCCAGTATGCGCATGCGCAGAGTTGCCAAAAGACAAGAACAATTAAGAAAGCAAGGTTGACTTGGGAGTAAAGCCACACCTTAGAAGTGATTGGCCCCTCCCATAGGAAACAAAAGAGGAGCCAATGGGAGGGGCCTTTTGCAGGAAACAATTTGGTTGGTCGGTTCAAGAGTGGAAAGTTCTGTTTGTGACTCTAAGAGACTCTGGGCCAAGTTTTGCCTTACACTGCGTTTGGAAACCAGTTATCTGGCAGCTTTCCAAGTGAGATAAGGTTTGTGTTGATAAATATTCCTCTGAAAGACTGTTTGCCGAGCCTTGCTGACTGTGAATGAAAGGAATTCACAGTTGTGTAAATAAAAGGGGTTTTGCCGGGACCAAGACTCTACTTCGTGCTTTTTAAGGAAGCCTAGGTCAGAACACATATAAAGAAGGCTCCTGCATGGCAATCTGCATTTTTGGAAGAAAAAAAAAATAGCCTGGCTTTCCTAAGGATGTAAAAATTTATGCTTGATTTGCTTTTCCCCCCCACTCCCAAAAAAGTTTCTTTTGCCCAAAGTCCCTGAAAAGAGATTGAGCTATAGAAGGTTCAATAATTCTAGGGCTAGGAGACGCGGATTGTATATTTCCAACCCTTTGTCCCAAGGCAGCTCTTTTAATGAAGCATCCCATACCTATGTGGCAGATTCTTTTTCCCCCTCCCTCTCTCCTATTCTTGCTGGGTCAGACTAAAGGTCTATTTCACCTGTTCTTTTCTTGAATGGCCAAAGATGCTTCTGGGAAGTTTAGAAGGAGAACACAGTAATGATAATCTTTCTCTCTGGTTTGCCTTCAGCACTCAGTAACCTGAGAGATTACTGCTGAATAGGGAAGAACCTTCATTAAGATCTTTCCAGAGGAAGAGAGCATTTGTTAAGTGGAGTGAATGTGTGTCACGTCCTCTAAAGGGTGAACTTAGTACTGGGAAGGAACAGTGGCTTTAATAGGAGTTGCTAGTTGGGCCAATGTTGTTGCCTCTCCTCCACTTGTTTACTGATCGTTGAATCTGAGCGAAGAAAAACCTACCAAGAACTTCTAGCTCCCCATTGGATTCACATTTTACTGAAATCATATTCAGTAACCCTGACTCACCTCTCCAGTCCTTCCATACAGGGGGGGAAAAAAGGTAAGTCTGCTCTCTTACTGCTATTCTTTGTGAAAATAAGTTCCTCTGCAGAGCTTGTTAGTAGTTGATTTTTTTCTTCCCTTTGAAATGTGGAATAAAAGCATTTCAAGTAATCATTTCACCTTGGAAACAGATTGTTCTGCAAATAGTCTAATTTATTAAAGAAGACCGAAGTCATTCAAAAATGACTGGAAGCAGAGATTTCCCTGCGGTGTGATGAGTTATTGGTAAGGTTGGAAGTATTAATGACTGAAGAATCCAAATCCCCCTTCTTCCCTCCCCCGTTCCTCTTTTTTGTATGAAATGTCTATGGAACATAAAGACAAAAAAGTACAAATTCATTTATGTCCTCGTTTACCTAATGATATTATTCCCTTGGGACACAGGCAGCTTGCATTTCATCAGGTAAAAGCAATTAGGATTTTTCAGGGGTGCCATTATAAATTGGCTATAACCAGTGTTGTAAAATGCAAAATATGAGTGACAAATGAATCACCCAGCAGCCTCTCTAATGATAGCAACAAGCAAGGAGCCTTGGCATATGTGTGTATACAGAATACATGGACGGCAGGGTGACTGCCTGGAGAGATAAGTCAATTCTTTCAATAAGAAAAAGGAAATTGAATTTAAAATAAATTTCCTACTGATACTTTTTCATATATGTCTTAAATAAGAGGTCCAAATCTAATCTCAAAGCCATATGATTTACAATTAAATAGAGCCTTATTTACGCCAGTTAGTTCTTTCTTACAGCCACATTTTGTCTTACAATTGGCCAAATTGATTTGTTGCACTATATTTTTAAAACTATAAAAGGTATGTCTTTACAATATTTCCAGACAGGGTCTTTCTAATGGCCAATTTCCACGAGTCAAATATGAGTGTAGAGACACACAATTGCCTCCTATTCTTTGTGCAACGTCCTTTCCATCTTCTCTCTCTATATTAATTCCACCCATTCTCAAACAGAATTCAGATGCCTACTATCAAAATCAGGTCACTGGTGGAAAAACAAGAACAATTCATCTTCATAAAATAACAGTGAAAATGTTATACTGTACTTAACAGCATGGAGTATAAATAACCAATTGGATTACTACCAAAGATGAGAAAGCTTTATTTAATTTAGCAACGATTTCTCCTTCCATTATGCTAAATCTAAGCCATGTTATGATTTCTTTGGATCTGGCTTAGTCTGTAGGGTAAACTTAACCTATTATGGTTAATTCAATAAACTCTGTTTAAATAAAGGGTGGATTGCATTGGTTAATGTGTGAACTAGGTCTGTGCAGCTGGAAAATTTATTGAAAGATTAACTGTAGAGCCAAAACAATAATACTGAGATGCTCTCCCATTAACCTACAGTATATATATTTATTTTTCACAAAAGCACCAAATGGTATTGACCTTTTGCTACTAAAGAATTCAGAGAATTATACATAAATAAATCTATTCAAGGTAATCTTTTTGTTGTTATATTTGGAGATCGGAAGGATAGAAAGATCGTTCCTTGAGTCAAGATCAGAGGAAATATATTCCTGATAATTCGTCTCCCTTCTATACTATCAAGCTAAGTGGTCAAGCTTGACAGATTTAAGAGAACAAAAAAAGTTATTGATGTTCTGAATCTAACGTAATAAAAATAATATGGTGGCAAAATATGCCAACGTTAGCATTAGGAAATCTCTTTTGCCATTCAGTAGTGTGGCTACAGGTATGCCCCCATTCAGAAGCCTTGTTTGGAGGCTATGCTGTCATACCAGATTCTTCAGCACAAGGTTACACAGTACTTACATTTGTTTTACATAATGAAATAAATTAGTGTGTATTAGTTTCTGAGATAGTCTCTCCCTTCTAGGCTGTAATAAAGCTTCTGCATCTGTTACTTTCACATACAGGCAGATAACAAAACCTTTTAACAATTTAATCCAGTGTTTCTCAACCTTTGTAGCTTGCAGATGTGTGAACCTCAACTCCCAGAATTCATGCTGGCTGGCGAATTCTGGGAGTTGAAGTCCACACATCTTCTTCAAGCTCTCAAGGTTGAGAAATGCTGGTCTAAACTCTTTACTTCATGAATGGCCCAACACATTCTCTTACCTGTCCTTACTCCATATTTCAGAGTGTCTCTGCAGTCCACTAGAATCTGTTCAAGTGATTCTGGATTGTCGGAGAGTTCAAGGTTGAAGCCTTCCATGCCTTCCAGGAGCTGATGAGGGTGATGGAAATCCAGCACCTTGGTGGACCTATCAAAGGTCTTCTTCACATAGGTCAGGAGAATATCCACCACTTCCAGAAGGAACTGAACGGTTTGCTCCTCGCCATTCTTGGCTGGCAGTAAATCTGAACAAGGGAACAATAAATAAGTAATCCAGTTACAGATGGAAAACACTTTCCCAGCTCCTCCTATACACTTTAAATAGCATTTAACAGTGATAAAATACCCTTCAGAGTAAAATTCTAATTCAAGAAGATGATGGGTCCCGTAGACGATGCATAGATGACAATACAGATGATATACCCTTCCCTAGAATTTAATCATTTGTTTTCCTGTAATCCCCAATATAATATTGAATGGTTTTGATTTCTCATGGCCATTATCTTAGGCAAAGAGATGAGCCACTCAAAATCCATGACAAACCCTATGAGACTTGTTGTTAATGATATGCATGTGTGGTATTTATTACTAAATCTGAAAATGTTCTAACTACTTCTGTTGCATTTGGTACCCCCTAAGATAATAACAGTTTGGTAGACCAAGCCATCTCTGACTCTTATTGAATTCCATTTCTGGTCTTAGGTATAGATTTATTTCTTAAGTAAGTTTTTTTTTATTCTGTTTTACCCCCAAATAATAAAAGAGAACACATGGAATACTTCTAAATAACCCACCCAGTTACTGCCAGAATATGCTTGGAAAACAATTTACGCTGAAACTGTCAGCATGGTCTATAATCATGCAGTGAATTTTTTTTGATCACATAAGAATTTGAAGCTGAATAGCTTCAATCCAACATTTAATCAATGCTCAGCAGTGGCTCTCCTATACACCCATAAATTAATCCAGCAAAATTACTGTAATTTTCATTACCCAATATTCCTATTCTGAACACTAAATATGGATTAGTTAAATTTCATGCTGCTTAGGCCACACCAGGGGAAATGTGTGGCCCTTTCCATGTTGTTGGATTATAGTCTTTATCATTGGTTATCCTGGCATGAAATGCTGGATACTGGAATTTAGGAATATCTGACGAGCCCCTCGCTGCACATCTCTATTTAAAAGCCTGTTCTTTCTGTTTGGAAGTGAAAGTTGGACTCTCAAGAAGCAAGATAGAGAGTATTGATACTTTTCGACTTTGGCATTGGAGAAGACTCCTGAGAATACCATAGTGTCAACTATCAACTGTCTGACTAGTGAACCCAAAATAACTAAACACTTTCAGGAGCAAAAGTAAAACTTTATTGGATACACCATTTTAGTACTGAAGAATCAAAACCAGCTCTGGTTTTCCCGGTGAAATGCTTGCTTAGTTAAACAATAGTTTCCTCTTCTCCCCACTCCTGGGTGATCACATTGTCCAATTATGAGATGTCCCTTTTTTATGGGAACAGTCCACCTCCTTCTCAAGCACCTGCAGTGATGACCTTGATGGTTTCCAGGCTCTCAAGATCTGTGCCCAAAATCTCAGCACTCCATTCCCCCCTTCCCCCCCCCCACAGTTCATTGGCAAGTTGAATAGCGATAAGGTTTGAAAGAAGGAAAGCAGTTAAATCTTGACACAGAGCTAGCCAAGAAGACAAGCAAATGGGGGTGCGGGGTGCGGGGAGGAATTGTCAACAAATAGCAAGGCTCAAATTATCCTTCTTCCATGAAATCAAATGTTGAATTGATGCTTTGGCAAAATGACTAATTTGGCAAGAGATGACAGCAACAAAAACCTACAGCATGAAAATACCAAGTAGGCTATTCCCCTTGAAATAAGGTTCCATGGTTCACTATTTTCTTCATTATACTCAACCAATGACAGCCTAGAATCCTGGAGTTGGAAGAACAATTTCTGTCAGCGAGTCTCTTTCTCTCTCTGCACTCTGCAGGCATCCAAATCAACACTTCCTGGACAGATGCTATCTGGCTTCTGCTTGAACACCTCCAATGCAGAACAGCCCTTGACCTTGCCAGGCAATTGGTTCTACCATCAAATGGTTCTTATCGTTAGGAATGTAGGAACATTTGATGCAAAATGGCCCATGAAGCTTAGGTTGCAATGAATCTACAGTATTTGCTTTTAAAGGTACCAAATCAGATTTTGTCTAGCTTGGGTATTTCATTGACAGGAATATAGTTTTGACTACCATATATACCAGCAGTCACCAACTAGTGGTCTGTGGACCACTGGTTGTCCGTGAGAAAATTTTGGTGGTCCGCAGAAAAATTATTTGCATTTTTTATATTGCACTAAATACTATTTATCTTTTTTTAAAAATCATATTAGTGGTCCATGGGATTTAAAATTATAAATTCAGTGGTTCCTAAGGTCCAAAAGGTTGGTGCCCCCTGGTATATACCATGTCCCAACTAACTCATTTTCCAAAACAAATCACTTGCATTTCTTCTCCTTCCATTTAATACATGTGATCAATGAAGTTTATTAACTTGAGACATGATGTAATTTGTTCTCTGCAGAATCCATATGATGGCTACAGTCCATCCAGTTGACTCAACACAGGAGGAGCCTTGTACTAATGCAGGCTCAGCAATACAAGCCCAGAGTTCTTCCTAGTACAAGTCATTTATGGCTGATCATCAGGATCCACCCCCAGATGAATTAAAGCAATTTCCTCAATTCAGTGCCCCTCAAGATGCGTTCATTGAGCTGCCAATTTCCATAATCTCCTACCATCATCAAGGTTGAAATCTCAGCTTGGAAAGAGAAGAACAAACTAATAGCAGCATGTCAGTCCAATTTGCTCCTGGATTCTTGGAGCCATTCTACTATAGTATGTATGGGCATCCAGAATCTGGGGAGAATCTACATCTCATTTGGCCTCACACAAAGGAGCCAAGTCTTGGGTGAGAAACCTCATCTCTAGAAATGATAGAAAATATCTGTAGCTCGGGTAGTAGATTATAGAATATAGAATAACAGAGTTGGAAGGGACCTTGGAGGTCTTCTAGTCCAATCCTCTGCTTAGGCAGGAAACCCTATATCATTTCAGACAAATGGTTATCCAACCTCTTCTTAAAAACTTCCAGTGTTGGAGCATTCACAACTTCTGCAGGCAAGTTGTTCCACTGATTAATTGTTCTAACTGTCAGGAAATTTCTCTTTAGGTCTAAGTTGCTCCTCTCCTTGATTAGTTTCCACCCATTGCTTCATGTCCTGCCTTCAGGTGCTTTGGAGAATAGCTTGACTCCCTCTTTTTTGTGGCAGCCCCTGAGATATTGGAACACTGCTATCATGTCAACCCTAGTCCTTCTTTTCATTAAATTAGACATACCCAATTCCAGCAACCGTTCTTCATATGGTTGTGAGAAGCCAGAAGGAAATTGCGTCTTCTAACAACTGTGAGATTTAGTTAATGACAGCAACTGGGATGGCTTTAGAACCACACTTCTTAGCATTGGAAATTCCAGTCCCAACTGCCATATGCGCAGAGGACTGTCTGCCTGTTATTTGAAAAGTTGCAATTTGCATTCGTATCCCTTGACCAGTTTATTGCTCTGATGGTATCCTTTCTTGACGCCTTCAGGCCCATGCTTGGAAAATGAGTTGCCCTTTTTCTCCCCCTGTGGTGGTTTGTTCTCTGAGCTTGCTGCTTAGTTTCTGAACATTTTGTCACCAGGTTAGGTGACATCCTCAGCAGGACTTCGGTCAAAGCTGGTCTGGCTGTTTGCATGGTTTTATGTTTTCACCGTGTGTTATACAGAACATCAACATTTGATCCCCGTTGGGTATATTATATCACCTAACAAGAGCCAAGTGAGAAGCAGATAATCCTTTTCCTTTCCCATCTGCATCTGAAGCAGCTGAAAAGATTTCAGCTTGGCTGCCTCTCAGGAAAAAGATCTGGCACAGCCTTCCCCGTTTAGGTGAATTCACATTATTCTCAGGCAGTGCCTCACTAACTGGGGATAATGTGGGTTATCACGCAACAATTACTGCAAGTTCAAATCTCACCAGGCTCAAGGTTGACTCAGCCTTCCATCCTTCCGAGGTAAGTAAAATGAGGATCGGGATTGTGGGGGCAATAAACTGACTTTGTATAAAATAGAACACCGCTTGGGGGGGGGCGAAAGCCCTACTAAGCAGGTATATACAAAAGTATGAAGGCTATTGCTTAACGCATTGTAAGCCACCCTGAGTCTCCGGAGAAGGGCGGCATATAAATCAAACCAATAAATAAACAGAGTGAGAAGGCATCTACGAAACTATCATATAAGCAATCCTATAACCTAACTGGCTAAAACCAAAGAGTTTTGATATATGGCTCTTCCCCACGACTAAGTGGACATGTTTTTCACCATGCATCTGTAGTGGACATGCTGTCCCTGCATCCAATTCCATTTGCCTCCGTTCTAGGTTGAAGAAGCCAGAGGCCTGGTGTCCTCATTTCCCTTGCAGGGAAGGCTGCCTTCCCCTCTCCTTTCCCCACATCAGCAGCTGATGGGAGAACCGCCTGCCAATCCCAGGAGTGCCATTAGTGGTCCTGAGGTACAGCTAGGATTTAACTACAGTATCTGTCAGTCGCCAGTTCTCCGAGTCTGCAGATCTGTTGCCAAGGTTGAAGAAGACAGGAGGCAAAGGAAGAGAAGAGATGCTTCACCATCCAGGCTTTTGAGCTGATCCTCTGCTTGAGGATCTAGATGAGTCCAAGAGTGGACAGCCTGAATAATAGCTGACAGATCTGAGAGAGGCACTGAGTGAGTCATCTCTCTCTCTCTCTCTCTCCCTCCCTCCCTCCCTCCCTCCCTCCCTCCCTCCCTCTCTCTCTCTCTCTCTCTCTCTCTCTCTTTCAGAATGCAACATGTCAATTTTTGTTTAAGGTACTTTTGAATGTAGGTTTATTCCTTTCATGGAATACAGTAAATTTGTATTAAAAAACAACTCCACCCCACAACACCCAACATGTGTGCAGGGGTGGCTTTATCATATAGACTCACATCTGGCAGGTGCAATAGAGGAGGGTTCTGCCCTCCTTCCCTCTCCCTCCTTCCCTCCCTCTCTTTCTCTCCTCCCTCTCTCCCTTCTTCTCCCTTGCTCCCTCCCTCCCTCCCTTCCTCCCTCCCTCTCCCTCCTTCCTTCCCCCCTCTCTCCCCCTCTCCCTCCTTCCTTCCCTCTCCCTCTCTTTCTCTCCTCCCTTCTCCCTTCCTTTCCCTTGCTCTCTCCCTCCCTTGCTCTCTCTCCCTCCTTCCTTCCCCCCTCTCTCCCCCTCCCTCTCTCTCCCCCTGTCCCTCTCTCCCTCCTTCCTTCCCTCCCTCCCTCCCTCTCTTTCTCCTCTCCCTCCCTCTCCCTTGCTCCCTCCCTCCCTCTCCCTCCTTCCTTCCCCCCTCTCTTCCCCCCTCCTCCTCTCTCCCCCGTCCCTCTTTCCCTCCTTCCCTCCCTCTCTCCCTCCTTCTACTTCATTACACAGGCTATCACCCGTACACACAGAGCTGATAATAAGCAAGCTTGCCAATGGAAATGAGATGTACAGCCTGGTTTGAAAGAATGGCTCTCCTGTTGCCCAAAGCTGAATAGTCCTAGGGGATGCTGTGCAGGGACCAGAGAGGGAGATACCATGTAGGTTTTGGACTGACCTTTCTGCCTTGGGGATCAACTGTCTTCACCATCGACAAATGGTTGGTGAAATGTCTCAGGGTAAACCCATTTGTGTAGGCATCCACAGCTACTCACAATGATGCCAAAATGATGGAATGTGCATCGTGACATTGCAGGCGAGCTCCGGCCTTTCTAAGGTGTGTTACCACATTGCACTTCTAAGAGGAGGAGTCTTTTTATTATATCTAAGAGGATATAATAAAAACATATTATATCGCTTGCCCTCCTCCCTTCTTCACTGACATCTATGCCCATGGTGTAACTTCAGTTTACTGATTGCTTAAAGGAAAAGAAGAGCCCCTTTAACAAAATAACTGCTTAATACAACTTTCAACTGCTCTGGGTTGGGGCAAAGAATGCAAGATTTTGACACAGAAAAAAGATTGCCGGGGCAATGTCCCTTCCTTAATTAAAAGAAAATGGGGAACGATCTTCAGGAATTAGTCTCAGTCAATGCTAGTTAGTCCCCGAAAGATTGCAAGTGACACCAGATTTAACAAAATAGACTTCTAATGAAGAAGCTTTACAAAAAAAAACAAAAACCCACAACTGAATTAAAAAGTCCCTTACCCATTGGTTTGAATAGGAGAGGACTGGAGCATCAAAATACCCGACTGACTGACTCAGGGACCAAACAACCTGATGATAGTTCCAGCTCCAGGCAAGATGGGAAATGATAGACAAATGTGGGAGCTGCACTCCTAAATACCTGTGCTAATTAAAGCCAATGAAAAGTGAGATTCAGGTTAGGAGAAGCTCTTTGGCTGATGATAATGCAAGTGGGGTATTGAGCGCTTCGATGCAGGCAGGAGGGAAGTCTGCCAGAAGAATGGCTGGCTCAAACCCCGGGATCAACTCTCCAGTCCAGCACAAGACATCCTGACCAGGGAAGCTCATAAATCAAGCGGGGGAGTGATAAATAACTTGTTGCTTGTTGGATCCCAGCAGCTGCATGTAAACTGAGAAGCAGGGAGAGGGAAGGAAGGGGCCCATTGCAAAAGCCTAGCGTATCTCTTCCTGGTTAATTGACTGAGCCTAAAACTAAACATGGTGAAAGAGTTTGCTCACCAAATTTACGAATATTTTTTTTTTTAAAAAAGAGAACCCATCAAACAGAATCTTTTCCCACCCACAACAGTGGATAGCTAGAAGTCCATAAAGAAGAAGAGAGCCACTGAGAAAACAGGGACCACGGATTGGGTGGGGTCCCAGGTTCCCTGCCGGCAGGGCTGGGCTTGTGAAAGGAATTCGGGGAATTTTGTTTTGTCTTGAACTTGCACCACAGGCTGACGATCGTTTCCATTTGTTTTTGCCCATAAAAGGATGGGAAAGCCGTGCAATTTGTTTTCAGGCATCACGGCTGTCCTGGCATCCTTTGTGTCTCTACCTGCAAAAAGAGGCTCAGAGCTGTGGCCCTTGGGACAAGTTGGCAGAGACCTTCCTTTCGCGTCTGGCATTTAAAGGTATACTGCTTCTGTAAAGGAAGGTTCCATCTAGCTGCAGCGACTAATCTTGTTAGGAGTCTTTGACTAACTCTCCAGTTTGAAAACCGGTTTACGGCATAAGGCAATCAGCTTCCCTTTGCTTGTCCCAAATAACTTTCCTTTCATGTTTCTGAGCTGCAGGACACCCTCACCGGACTATCCCACTAAAGATGACCCAAATTGCACCGACCTTCGGAGTTTGCATAACAGGATAAGCATTTGGCTAGCTTATTTTTTTTTATTATTATTATTTTAATTTGATTTATATGCCGCCCTTCTCCGGAGACTCAGGGCGGCTTACAGTGCGTTAAGCAATAGCCTTCATCCTTTTGTATATTTATACAAAGTCATCTTATTGCCCCCACGAACTGGGTCCTCAATTTACCTACCTTAGAAAGGATGGAAGGCTGAGTCAACCTTGAGCCTGGCGAGATTCGAACTTACTTTAATTGCAGACAGCTGGTGTTAAATTACAGTGCTTTTGTCTGCAGAGCTACCCAGCTATATTATAGCTGGCGTGCCTGGGGACAATCCTGAAGTGACCCCAGATACCAGCAGCCGGAGAGGGACGTCCCAGGACAGGAAAACCGCTTCCAGCTGTTTGGCACTGGACAAACCATTATTCCCCCCACCCCCGCCCCTTTCCTAGGAAGGGAAGCCTCGGCAGGTTGGGACTTTTGAGAGGGAAGGAAGGGAACCTCGGGACTGGGCAGAGCGAAAGGATCAGGACTTTACCCCGGGCGTAGAGGTTGGAGAAGTCGGTCTCGGTCTTCTGGAAGCGGGCTTCCTTCTCGCTGTTCTCGCAAGCCAGCAGGTTCCGGGTGCTCTGCCTTTCCTTGAGCGCGCTCACCAGCCGGCTCTTGTCTTCCAGGCTGTTGTTCCTTTGCAGGAAGCCTGCGGGGTTAGGACAAGGGGGGCAGGTCAGCAGAGAAGCCTCGATCGCGCTTTCCATGGTCGCCCCGAGACAGCAGCTGCACCCCTGGAAAGGGGTCCCCGGGCCGTTCCCACGGGCGATGAGCTCTGCCCTCTACACTCTACACTTCCCCCACCCGCTGTCCGGGAGATGGATTTATAGGGGGGGGGGGAAGGCGCCCGCAGGGAGGAGAACTCAGAGGACCCCCCCACCCCGACAGGAGAAAGGCAAGGGGCGGGGGGGGGGAAACGAAGGATGGCCAATGCCTTTTTGCCTTTGGCTGGGGGTCATCTTTGGTCACAAAAGGGGACATTCGGGACGAGGCAGGATGGCTTTTCGCCCCATAGACTGAAATGGGGCGGGGGGGTGGGGAGAAGGCTTCCAGGCAGTTTTCAGGGAGGGGCGGTCATCACAGCAAACGGTTTGGGAAAACTAAGGAAGACGCCTCCTCCGAGACCACCCGGGAGGATTGTGGAGGACGCAGAACCCAATAAATATACGCAGGATGAGCGTATATGTCCACATTCCTCCAGATGTGGTTGAACTACAATTCCAGAAGTCCACCCAGCCGGTTTAAAAAAAAAAAAAAAGAAGGGTATTGGATTTGTAGTTCGGTCACGTCGGAAAGCCACCGGTGGCTCATCCTTCTTTCAAAAAGAAATGGAGAATGTCCCTCTACACATCTGGCGTCTTACGGATGCCACAGCAGTTCTGTGTTTTGAGTGACGTAATCCCAAACATCAGTCTGCAGCCTCGGTCCCCAAATATATGAGACTACTGCTATTTATAACCCTGTTTTATAATAATGATTCATCACAATCACACACACACACGTTAAACCAAACGGAATACGGTGCCCCAAAACTGAAAACAGAGAAGCATGCCGGAAAGATACGCCAATTTCGAAGTAAGGCAAATACTCCAAAAAAAAAAAAAGGCTTGATCTAATTAAAATCGAAAGATATTCGCTTTGCATATTTGTGTTCTATATCTGATCGTCCACCAGACCGCGAGGAAGCCCCAGAAGAAAAAGGGGGAGGGAGGTTAAACAGATCAAAGTTAGTTTTTTTTTTTAAATTTGATTTATATGCCGCCCTTCTCCGGAGACTCAGGGCGGCTTACAGTGCGTTAAGCAATAGCCTTCATACTTTTGTATATTTTATACAAAGTCAGCTTATTGCCCCCACAAACTGGGTCCTCATTTAACCTACCTTAGAAAGGATGGAAGGCTGAGTCAACCTTGAGCCTGGTGGGATTCGAACCTGCAGTAATTGCAGGCAGCTGGTCTTAATAACAGGGTGCTTTAGACCACTGTACTACCAAGGCTCTTAAATCTTAAATCTTAAATCTTTAAATCTTTAAATCTTTAAATCTTTGCATGACAGCAAGAACGGAACTCTGCCACACTTGGCCTCACCTAGACCTCTTCTTGACAGGCTTTCGATGGGCTTCATTTCATAGGTGCCCCATTACCACAATGGAGCAAGCTAAGCCCTCCCCGCACCCACCCCGACGCAGCCTTATCCAGCCTGGCCGCGTTTATTTGTTCAAGCCGGGAAGGACCAGGTAGATCGAAAGCAAGCGGGACCAAGTAGTCAGCCTTTAGAGATCCGGGTTTTCATACCCTCTTTTTGAAGGTGATACTGGTGGGAGGCTCCCAACGGTTAATCGGAAGACCGATCTTAGGGTTCCCCTTTGAGTAAAGCCATTGGCCGCCTTGCTCAGAGGACGCTTTCCTATGAGGAGGGCTTTTCTAGTATGGGGAGGTTCTCGGGATCGGAAGGAGGGAAGGAAGGCCCTTAGATTCAGTGTTGACCCTTCCTTCCTTCCTTCCTTCCTTCCTTCCTTCCTTCCTTCCTTCCTTCCTTCCTTCCTTCCTTCCTTTTTTCCTTCCTTCTTTCTTTCCTTTCTTTTTTCCTTCCTTCCTTTTTTCCTTCCTTCCTTCCTTCCTTCTTTCCTCCCTCCCTTCTTCGAATCAGTGTAGATTTCTTTCTTTCTCTCTCTCCCTCCCTCCCTCCCTCCCTCCCTTCTTCCCTCCCTCGTGTGGGAGGGTTACCTGGCCCAAGGTAACTCAGATGGCATCGTGCCTAAAGGAGGAGCCAAAGGGAGAAGCCTCTGCTTTTCTAGGGATAAATTAGACTCCTTTTCCAACCTAGCGCCCCTCGGATGAGTTGAATCCTCAAAGCCAGCGGGGCCTTTTGACCCCTGGGATCTCTAATTCCAGCACAGCCGAAAAAGGTGCTTTGGAAGGTCGGGGGGAACGGATGGAAATTCGCTAGACACGAAGTCTCTCTCATTTATTACGGAAAACCAATGGAACGCGGAAGATACTTTAAATTTAAGCGCTTGGAATTGCGGGTGTTGAGGGACGGAGGTTTTTTTTTTTGAAATGCGAAATTAAGCCAGGTCTGGATGCGAAGAAATTGGCCGAAGTAATATGGGAGAAATGGGGTGGGTGAGGGTGGACAATCCATTAAGTGAGCGCAGCCCTCTTTCCCCGCGAGCTCACGTAGCGCCCCCCCCCAGCTTTCCCAAGGGAGATAAAGTGGGGGAGGAAGGGAGGCGCCTCCGCTCACTCTTTTCCTCACCGCGAAACTTGGAGAAGCGAAAGGAAGGAGAGGTGTGGTCCTTGGAAGCGATCCAGTCGGTGCTAAGCAAGGCTGCCCCCAACATCATCTGTCCTGAATCAGTCGTCCCTCCCCTTCCCCGTGATGCTACGAAGATTGTGGGTTTTCTACCAGCTGGGGGAGCTGATGTAGGGGTAGAGCAGGCAGAGCTGAGGGGTGGAGTTAAGCCTGTCATCAGTTTAGAGTCCTTGAATTCCCACAAGCGTTCCAAGTCCAACTCCTTCTGAGTTCTGTTGACCCTTATCTGGTGGCAATTTAGCGTTGAACTTTAGTTGACCAGTTTCTTGCTTACAGGCTTGAATGAATCTTCTATGCTGCTGCAGTCTTAAGGATGGTTTCTGATTCTTTGCACCTGACAGCTGTGCTGGCCAGTATATATCCAGTTTTCTTGCAAAATAGAGCTCTGGAGTTTTGCTTATTTGAAACACTGACTTTTCCCCCAAGGTACTAAAGGACTCCTAGTTCAGTTCTTGTCTATTTGAGTGATTCTGTGCCACCATCCAAACAACAGCTTATGAGGTGGACCAGGTTTTTTTTGGGGGGGGGGGGGAGGAGTGGCCAGGATTTTCAATCACTGACCGGTCCAAAATCCTGCCGGTTACATTTCATGGTTGATGAAGATTTGTAGCTCTTCAGTCTTTGGTGGACAAAATTAAGAGTAACCAGGTCAAATTCTCTCTGTTATGGGGTTCAGGCATTTCAGGTTATAATTTTATAAACTGGCTTTAGCCTACTTCAATATGTGAAGCCGGCCAATTATGGCTTACTTATGGACAACTATTTAACCAAAGCCAGGAAGGTCCACTGGTTAAGGTGCTGAAATAATAAAGTGATCACCTTGTATGCTGTCTTGAACTTCTAAATAAAAGGTAGAATATCAATCCGACATCATAACATAACAACATTGGCATTAGTATAATGTGTGAAATCAGTTAATAGCTAGGCTCAGACTATAAACTTAATCAACCTTAAGATAGTTTATTTGGGGTTTGTGTGCTCTCTGAACTTAACCAGCCCTGATTTATTCAGTAAAACTGGTTAGGAAACCTTGGTGAGCTAACATGGCCATTGAATAAGAGAACCAAACTGGACCTTTTCTATTCAAACCTGAAGCGTTAATCACAAATTTCAGCTTCTTTATTATTATTTAGCTAAAAGATGTACAAATACAGATGCAGTTGTTCAGAATATCAACACAGCATCTGCAATTGAAATTCCACCAAACGTGCATTGTATGCCAGGTTAGAGATGATCATTTAGTAGATGTGACCTTCATTAGATGTGAAGGAAAACCTTAGCAGATCTCTGCCGTGAAACAAAATCTCCCCAAAGGATGTTAAAATAGGAGATGAATTGAACAATAATTAAACTCGTTTAAAACATCAATTTATGAGTCTTGCCATTGCCCACCTCTTATTCTCCAGATCTCTGGGGCTGCTAATCCCACCAGCTTTAGCCAAGAGGGCCTTTGGTCATGGCTACTGGGATTAATGTCCAGGAAATAATACACAGTCTAGCCCAGAGTTAAACAGGTTCACACTGAAAGCAAATCCACTCTTGCAGGCTTCCACTCATCAGCAAACCTGCACCTGATAGCCACAAGGCTAACCTTGCCTTGGTTCAGAAGTTAAGCAAGTTGAACCTGGTTATCACTTGGTTGGGAGACCACTAGGAAAAGCCAGATCTGAAGACAAGACAGATATCAAAAACATCCAGAAGATAGCAGTGGGCAACCACTTCAGCATTGTGGGCAAAAAACCCCCAAAACTTTACATGGATGAACTTGACTTGAAAGAGATTTTATCTCTTTTTATCTCCTAGTAATGATAGACATGCAAGGGATCAAAATATGAGGCTACTTAATTTGGATTTTCTATCTTTCTTGGCTAGACTAATTGATAACCATCACTGAACTATCTTGATGATTATTTCCTTTCTAGAAGCTAGATAAACACAGATTTTGAAAGAAAAAGTGAATTAAAACAAACCTAGGGAATTTGCCCGCAGCCAATTAGGGCTGCCCTCTACTCCTTGTTTAAAGGTGAACCTAGTTATTCTCATTCTAAAAACTGAACCAGCCTTCTATGAAGATGATATATCAGGAAATCTTCCATTAATGCATTAACCAAGTGGTTGCATCTTCATGAGGTTAAAGTAATAAGTACAGATTAGGCAATTACTTTACAATAGATTGTCTATCCCTTTCCTTTCCTGGAGGGTAATGAGGTTTGATTGGCTTTGCCTCTGTAAAGCATTTTTTTTAAAAAAAAAAAAAAGAGGAAAACCAATTTTATTCAAAGCAGGATTTAAAAGACTTGGGGCAAAGAAGGAAATAATATTAGATAATGAGATGC